CAAGTCCTAGACAGGAAGCATGGCAGACATCGAATCACGCCGAGCGTTTACATGCGACCAGAATCATTCGCTTACGATGAAATTAAGTTGAATTTTACTTGCATTTTATTTTTTGTACGTTATTATAACTACTACTGAGTAATAATCGTAACCGTGGAATGCAGCATGACCGGATTTTGCTACCGTGATCATTGACTACTAAGCGTTGAATTTGTGTTTGTTTTATTTTTCTGTTGATTATACGGCAAACTGTGAATGTTTTCTAAAGAATGATATTTTTTGTATAACTTTCTAAACTGTCTGAAAACGGGTCATTTACTCAGTATTTAAAATAAAAGCTACAGTGACTAAGCGTCAGACTGTAATGTAAAATATTGTCAATAATCTATCACCAGAATGGAGCAAAAACAATGGCTTGTAACACAGTTTCCGGTACTAGAACTTGAAGTGCTTGAAATAAGCGCCATTTGAAACAAAGTTGCTCAAATTTAACCACAAATAAGCGCCACCATGACATGAAAGTGTAACAAAGTGGCGCCTAATTGAAGACAAATACGGTAGAGACATTGCACACTAAATCATTGTCTTATTTTACCCACAATACAAACACCTGTAATGCACACAAGTGCATGCTCTTCTAATAAAGGACATTTTTTTGGCCTGAAACAATCACTCAGACTTCCAAAATGAACAAAGTGACTGATTAACAAGGGATATTTACAGCAGTTCCAGTCCCCGACTTAACACCGAAGTAGCGCTAGATGTTAATAATTAACTACAATAGGTTACACATTTTGTTTTCACATTTATACAAGTTGTAACTAGAAATATAAACATTGGCAGCGGAAAATCAGAGGAATGATTGACAGATATTGCCCATAATGTTATCTATTTCTGCTACAAAATCCGATAACTATATACTTAGCAGCGCATGTCTTTTAGACACTTTTGTTGCTAAAAGATTAACTGTCTGTTATCAGGTTGAAAACCGGCATTTATCAAAGTTCTTAAACACTATGATGGAGAAGCAAGAAGTTGTCAGTCAAATTGACAACGAGTTATGGATTAGTACCGGTACTGTCATTTGCTGAAATTTGACATTGCAGTGTGTTTTAAAGCAGACAGCTTATAATATCGTCACACAGTTACCACAGTGAGTATTCTGCCAGTAAAGCTAAATAGAGACTAAGTGAATATTATGAAACGTTGAGACTGAGCATTCACAATTCTCAAAAATTATTCAAAGACGTTCATCGATCAATCAATTATGCAATGAGGATATCAGTCTGATTTTTTAGAGAACGTGCTGAATTTTTGTTTGACGAATCACAGGGTTGGATCATAGTGATCGAAGTTACAATTACACATCAACTGCAACTTTCAGTTAATTTATTAGTCGTAATGTTTGGTATCAATCACGTTGATATATTTCAAGAGCCATTAAAAGAATATGAAATGTTACACATTTTTCATGTAGCCATTGTCGAAAATAACAAGATGCGAAAAGCATGTTTAGCACTGGGGGGCGACAATATGAGCAACTGCCTATTCACCATGCTTGTCACGTCGAGTTATACTCGAGTGATTTATTGAATTAACCGCCATATAACCCAGAGTAAAGTGTGCAAACTATGTTTCAGAAGTTTGAAATCAGAGTTAAGAGAATAGAATTGTATACAATTACACAGTATTAGCTATAGAACACACCTTTAGGAAACTTGGTCCTTTTTTATGCAGACAATTTGCTACAGAGACGGTTGCGCACGACTATTTTATGATATATTCTGATTCAGTACAATTATATATCTTTACTGTCTCACAGTGTTACTGGCATATGCATGGCCTCAGTCACACCTAACACAAATTAAAGCAGGTACCTAAATCGTTTTTGTTTTTTTTTCAAAAATTCAAAACTAACAGGTCGCTACATTACGGGCAGTGCTTCTCGCCAGAGGGCTTCAAATTGCAATCATGCTGTCTGCATTATTTGAAACAACTTCTGTAAAAGTGAAAACAAAGTGTGTAACCTATTGTAGTAAGTTGTCAACATCTAGCACTAATTCAGCGTCAAATCAGTGCCTGAATGGCTGTAATGCAACCTGAACTGATTTATTAGTCACATGGCTCACTAGCTGGAACTTGTGCCTGTTGAGGCAACTGATTGATAAAAGCAGTACGTCAGTGAAAACTAAAAACATACCTTCACAGTTCCCAAATCCATCGGGTATTTTATAATATCATGGTAATCATGGAGACCCAACAAGTTTGCGTCAACAGGTTTGTAAAATGGCCACGCATAGCCCTGTGAATACGAGAGGATTCAACAAGAATTGTTAAGAGCATCAAGAAAATGGAATGGCACCCTTCAAAGGCAAAATCTTGCAAACAAAGTTGCATTATCCACTAGTGTTTGAAAGTGTATAGTAAAATCAGTAAGTTGAACGTGTCGAAACCGACCGATTTACTATTTGTCTCGACAACCTAAAATCACAGCACGCTAACTATTTGAATCAAAACGATTTTGCTTGTGATTTGATGGTCATGCTTTAAGATGCTAACAATTTACACGCAATTGCTTGGCGACATTCAGTTTGCGAACAAGTTTTGCCCAGATATCTTGCAAATACTACGACTGTTTTATTTGATGTATGGTACATACTACAAACAAAACAATTGATAAAACAACATTTGTGTACAAAATAACACTGGTAGAGTAATATTTTTCAAGTTTCTGTTATATCAGACAGTATTATAGAATGATGTTCCATTGGCATGAAACAGTCACTCAGACTTCCATAATGGACAAAGTGACTGTGATTAACAAGGGACATTTAATGTAACCTCAACTGATTTATTAGTCACATCATGGCTCACTGCTAGGACCTATGCCCGTTGAGGTATTTTGTAGAGATAGCGATAAACTAAACCGTTGTAACCTGGATTTTGGTATCATCAATGCCATCCAGCAAGACTTAAGTGTACAAATGTTCAAACGTAAATTTTAGTTTAAACTGCCATTAATGAATTTTGGGTCAATTTAGTAGTATAAATGCCAACGTAGGCACGTTTCTTCTATGAACATTGGGTTCTTATTTGGTGGATTATTTGTCTGGTGTCAGTTATTTGCAAGATTAAACAAGCATTTGATGTTGTACATGACCAGCGAAATGTTTTCTTGCTCGAGTGTAATGGATGGTGAAATCCAAACATTGTCATTGCGATTGCTTTGGACGTTGTAACATCAGAACAACTAATTACCTGCATACTTGTCAACAGACTAGACGTATTGACATTTTTAATGGACTGCAGACAAAAGGTAATTTCATCAATATTTTGAAATAAAGTAGATAATCAGTTATTCTAATCTTACAATATCCAGAGCAATTACAAAGAAAAAATCTTGGTTGTTTTCACTGTAAATATTCAATAGGTGAAATAACTAGACCACAAATCTGATAATGTACAAGATTGCTATGAAGCACATGTCGCCTATATGTCGTTGGAAACCCTTGACAAGTGAAGTGATTTGTGCACAGTTACAGCACTCGCAAAGATGCATGAATACTACTACCGTAAAATCTGTATTAGAAGCTGCATCTCTAATAATACAACTCGCACTCATTCTTTTGAACAATTGAGAACCAAACATTTACCATTTCTCATATGTGTAGAGGCTCTAATAAAAGCCACATCCCCTCTGTTGCATTGTACCATTTTAATAGAAGCTGCAGCTTCTAATACAGATTTTATAATAGTAGTTTCAGCATCTTGAGTAACAGTTACTGAACTGTACATTTTTTTTTCCTGTTCATGATTCAAGGTTACGTCAATACCAAATAAAATGCCATGGCTCTAATTATTATTTGTATTGTGTTTCAAATCAACTATTTCCTATTTTGAGATTTCACTTGTGACATTTGACTTGTTGACCAGGCACACTGCAGCTTTGAACAATAACAAGGTTGAGTGTGGAGCGAGTGCTCAAAGGAATTCAGACTGGCACATGACATGATTTATATTTGCCAAGATGGGAAACGATTTAGACAAATTAGAGGAACACTATTGAGTTAGGTTTACAAGGTTGATTCACACTTTCATCAAATTATAGGCGACAATACAACTTCAATAACATTGAAAGTACAGATTCCTCAATAAGACGGCAATAGATCCAGGTTGAATATCCAAACCACACATGCATACAATCCAGTCTTCACATTCAATATTTTGGGGTAAAGTAGGATCCACAATAGAGTGTGTTTAGCATGACACTCACTGAATGTTTCTTGGAATACAACTCCTTGATTATTCCATTACAGTACTTAAGCTGTACCGAAAGTTTTTCTTTTTTCCCTTTACTATGTTGTGCTGCATCTGGCAAGTCTTTTTTTGGAGGTTTAATTTTTCGTCCACTCTCTCTCCTTGTTGGTATCTTGGCAGGTCGTGGTTCATTAATATGCAGAACTGGTTCTTCAGGAGGAACCTGTATAATTGCTGCAGTTGGTGTTGTTGTGTCTGCTTTCCTCTTCACACCTTTTTTCACCTGTCACATGAAACAAACAGGGGTTTGATTAACCAGACTACTTTGGTTGCCAACAAAAATCATCATCCGCATAGACAAGTAAATACAATAGTAACAATAAAAAGATAATATACAATTCATCACAGGTTCTGTAGTTCCATAACATGCAATGAACACAAACAGCTGAAAATATGCGAGGTGTGATTTTCTCAGACTAACGAGATCAAGCATCATGTACCTAAGTATATGAGTAGGTAAGGAAATTATCATCACAGAAAACCACGTAATGCATTGTCCAAACACAGGATGGCACAGTCTAAACACTCTAGCAAGAAGTCAACATGTGAAAATTGTCAGCAAATATATCGGATTATGCTTTCAAATGGATTGTAAAAAACAGGTGCCACATTGCCAAGTGAACAACACACCAGTCTTGATTGAACAAGCATGTTTTTTTGGATACGCATTTTGTTGATGGACTTTACGTTTCAATTTATAAACTATTAATCAAAATAAACCCAATTAGGAATACATAAAAATCAACAAATAACGTAATAAGAAAGGTTAAAACTTACCTTTGCTACTGGTTGTTGCGGCGGATGTACAACTGAATTACTCTGCATAACAGGAGCTGTTACTGGCTGTGGAGGAGGTCGCGGTGGTGGCGACGGTGGTGGCGGTAATGACTGTGGTCTGTATTCTGGAACTGTTAGTTGTGGTGGTGGTGGTGGTGGTGGTTGAGAAGGTGGTGGTGTTGAAGTTGGATGATTTACTTCTGGTAACGATTGAATTTGTGGTGGAGGTGGCAGCACTATACAAGAGAAAAAGATTGAAATGATTGACTACATACGATTCAAGACGAAAACAAAAAGAACAGTAGTAGAAGACTCAAGTAGAACCTAAATCTACCCACTTGCCTGTTGTTGTCGGTGTTGGTATTGATGGTGGTGGGGGAGTTGAGGCAGGTATTGTAGAAGTTATATGTGCTGCTACTCCAAT